TGATTCTGTGATTCTATGTTTCTCGTGATTAAAAAGAGTCTTGATAAGGAGCATTTTTGTATCCATATAGAAGTGATCTTACTACACTAATAATGGTATTGGTTATCCTGCTTGGACACAACAAATATAATTAAGTTACATTTCTACCTGAGCTACTGAGTCTCGTGGTCTGTGGTTGGTTCCTCTTTATTCATGAAAGACGAATCTGGTATAAAGCTCCCACATTTTGCATCTATTTTCTTTATTAGAGGGCAGTTTCCTAAGCAATCAAGGAGGTTTTAGTATTGGCAGGAACTATGGTATTGGCAGGTATATGTCCTGAAGTGGAAGATTGATTAGCTCCTTCCCCTGCATCTTTTGAGAGTTCAGTGACTAGGAAATTGGTCATACTGTTCTTTAGATGGTTGGTAATAAATACCAACTAGTTTTTATTGTGTTCTGTGTGAGAATGTTGATGCATAAATAAGTTACATTGGACTTGTCAGTGTAACAAAAACATGAGATTTATATGTTGAGGTTCTGTCACCATTTAAATTCACTTTTTGAGTATTTGGAGCACCCAGTGGTTTATAGTGATGATAACATCCCAACCCCATAAATCCTCACACCTTACCGGGTTTCAGTAACAACAGCTGGATTGAGCCTAGACTCATTCAGCCACTGCAGCTTGAATTCCTTGTCATTTATTCTTTGTTTCATATGTTAATGTTCTAGCAAATAAAGAATGTTTTATTTCTTCTTCTTCTCTGCTGTTTGGATTCATTTTGGTTTTGTCGTCTTGGGGTTTTTGCTGAATGAGTACGTTTTTGAGGAAAGCTGAAATACATAATTTCTAGAATTAAAACTTCCAGCTGTCTGAAGCCACAAGACATGCAGTCCTTCTGTATGAAATTATTTCATGTTTACAGTGGTGCTTTTTAGCCTTTGTGCTGGTTTTGGCTGGGATAGAGTTAATTTTCTTCATAGTAGCTAGTATGGGGCTATGTTTTGGATTTCTGCTGGAAACAGTGTTGATAATACAGGGATGTTTTAGTTACTGCTGATCAGTGCTTGCACAGAGTCAAGGTCTTTTTGGCTTCTCGCACCACCCCACCAGCGAGTAGGCTGGGGGTGCATAAGAAGTTGGGAGGGGACACAGCTGGGACAGCTGACCCCAACTGACCAAAGGGATGTTCCATACCGTATGACGTCACACTCAGCATGTAAAGGTGGGGAAGAAGAAGGAAGGGGGGGATGTTCAGAGTGATGGCATTTGTTTTCCCAAGTAACCGTTACATGTGATGGAGCCCTGCCCTCCTGGAGACGGCTGAACACCTGCCTGCCGATGGGAAGGAGTGAATGAATTCCTTGGTTTGCTTTGCTTGCGTGCGCAGCTTTTGCTTTACTTATTAAACTGCCTTTATCTCAACCCACGAGTTTTCTCACTTTTACTCTTCCTATTCTCTCCCCCATCCCACTGGGGGGAAGTGAGCGAGCAGCTGTGTGGGGCTTAGTTGCCGGCTGGGGTTAAACCACAACAGCCTTTCAATATGACAGTAATATGGATGGGCTTTTCCAAACCGTATACATAAAAATTCAAAAAAGTCTAACCCTAGCTTCTCCTAAACATAAATATTATACTCCTTAATTTAGTTATAGGTTTTTGTTTCTTATTCCACTTCATAAAACTTTACAGAGAAGGAAAATTGAATCTCTTTGTAAAGATAGTAGCCAAATAAAGAGAGCCCCTCTCCCCTCAGTACTGGTTGATGATTAAGCACTGGCAGCAATGCACTGGATCTTTTTATCTTCTTGTTTGCACATGTCAAGGTCTAAAAACATTTTTCAGGATGTTGAGGTGTCTAGAGAAGTAGTGAGGGCCTTGGTGAAATGCCTACATTTTCATCTTGAGCATGAAACTATTCTCCCCAGTTGATATGCTGTGTTTATGGATCCTGTTCTGTCCATCAGTTGTTGTACCTCTACTTACTGTAGTAGTAAAAGGTTGCAGACAGTTTTGTGGATCTTTATGCTTTGTGTAATGGGCCCTTACAGTGATTTTATAATATAAACAATAACAATTAAAAGCATTTCAAAACAGAGGCTTAATAGCCAAGGGGGGAGGAACCAGAAATTTATGACTTTCATGGATTCATATTGGCAGAGAGGTTTGTGGGAAGCAAACTTTAACTGATTTGACATTCACTGAAGCCTTTCACTGCTTTCTGAGAAAGAGCAAGACTTCCAGTTTTAACTGACTGACTTTTTACTGCAATTTTGTCTTCCAGATTGTGTTTAATGAAGAACTAGGAAGTCCGTTTATTATAGCACACAGTGTTTCATTTGTAAAATCTGATATGCATTCAGTAGCTGTGCTGCTGCTTAGGGTAGAAAAAGATGAATTGGATACAAAAGGAAGTGGATTTCATATTACCTTGGAATGGGTTACAATTGCAGAGATAAGCAAAGAGGGTAAGTGTTTTACATTTATATTACGAGTGAGTAATGTTTAAAAAAAAAAAAAGCATGCTTTTATTCTTTTGTCTTAGAAGTTGATTGTTCCTCAGGTTCTGCTATTTCCTTTCCCCAAAACTTCAGCTTGGATTTTACATAGGTAATTTTTTCTTACATTTTGAGATCAAGTTATTGGTTGTAGACTTAAATTCTGACAAACGTTTGGAAGACAGGAAGAAGTAAAATTTTATACGTGTATGGTTAATGTAATTAGAAAATAAGATAGGACTTTACTTTGTGACGTTATGAAATGCAATTCCTGTTTAGCTTGATCTTATAAAATCAAGGTTATACAGAACCATTTCTAACTAATGTCTGTTACACTTTTCAAAATGTTGTACAGCTAGATACGGGTTTTTGTTTGGTTATGTTTTGGGTTTTTTGTTGTTTTTTTAGCTTCCAATTAACAGTGTCGTGGGATTGGAATTAGTATGAGATAAATATAAGAACTGTAGCATAAAAAGTAAATACTGCATATTCTAAGTTTTCCTACAATAAAAGAGTATGAAGTTAATTTTAGACCAACACATTAAAAACATATTAGTTAGTGTATTAATACCTATTAATTAATGTATTATCCTAATAAAGTTTGGCAAAGGGTAATTTATCTGTTCAATATGACCATATATACTTACGTTAAATATCAGGATTTCCATAAAGGATATAAGACTCCATGCTTCAGCGTCTGATTTAAATGGATTAAATTAACTTACCTTTTTGGGAAGACTATGATATGGTCTCATTCATTATCTTCCAAAAGTATAATTTTGATACTGATAGAAACAAGTTCTTTAACTACTTGAACTAAAGCAGTCGATTGCATACTGCGATGTTACTGTCCAAATGTTCCTCGGCCTCCTACGTATATAGTATGGATAGGAGAATGAGTGGCTTTATTCACGTTGTCTGCTGTCGAAGCCTTGGGTGGTGGAAATATTTTTAAGAGAACCAGAAAGCCATGGGAGATTGCCTTATTCTTTTGTGGCCAGCTCAACAAGAGAAAGAAATCTGTGATCATTACTGGTTATATCTTGTAAGAAAAATTAAATCAGTAATACTGCCAGTCTAGAACTGAAGATCATTGCTTAAAGAAAGTGCTAATGCAAACTCTTACTATATTTAATAAACTGTGTATTTTCATAAACAAATTCTTTTTTACAGTGTGTTTTTTATAACTTCAAACATATGTTCATGGAATGAAACTTCTTCCATAAAAGTGGATTTAAAAATCTTTCAGAAAATCTTGCCAGTTCTCGAGCATTTCCAAGGAACAGACAAAATTTTTGTAATTACAGTCAGCAGAGAGGTAAATAACAAGATTCAAAGCAAACTTTAATTACGAAGAGAGAAATAAGTTTTGCTTTCTTTTAAATAAACATCTTACAAATCAGAGTGATGTATGAACCAGTCTCGAAGATAAAAGCTGTTTTGAGGAATTACAATACTTTACATCCTCTTTCATCAGTAGGCAATTGCTATGCTTAACTTTTCTTGAAACTCTGTCTGTGGGTGCGGTTGTCCTGGTTTTGGCTGGGACAGAGTTAACTTTCTGGTGGCTAGGGGGTGCTTTGTTTTAGTTTTGGTATGAGAGGAGTATTGATGGCCCATTGATGTTTTGGTTGTTGCTGGGTGGTGCTTGCACCGGGGACTTTTCGGCCTCCCATGCTCTGCCAGGTGCATGGGAAGCTGTGGGGGGGGAGCATAGCCAGGGCGGTTGACCCAGCTGGCCAATGGGGTATTCCATACCATGTGACGTCATGCTCAGTATAAAAACTGGGAGGGGAGGGGGGACGGCTCTTGCGGCTTGGGACAGGCTAGGCATGAGTCGGCAGGTGGTGAGCAGTTGCATTGTGCATCACCTGCTTTGTATATTCTATTATTGTCATTGTTATCATTGTTATTGTTACTGTTCTACTTTGTTTTATTTCAATTATTAAACTGTTTTTGTCTCAACCCATGAGTTTTCCTACTTGTGCCCTCCCGATTCTCTACCCCATCCTATTGGAGGAGGGGGGTGAGCAAACGGTTGCGTGGTGTTTAGTTGCTGGCTGGGGTTAAACCATGACAGCAGTTTCTCAAATCAGATTGTAGTTAAAATTAAGTAGTTAATCAACAAGCCATTTCTCAAATTACCAAAATCTTTGCTTCATCAAAGCAAAACTTTAAAACATAGTTATGTCTCTTGACACCAACAACTGTGAGAGTTAACTAATGTTTTGGGAATTTTCACTGTAAAAGCTTGAAATGAAGAACCACCATGCTGCTTTATTAGACTCAGAAAATTTTATATGCTTAGCTTTCTTCTGACCTTTGCAAGAAAAGTCATGTAATATAAACTTACCGAAAAGATCATAAAGACTTACTTAAAAAATTTAAAAGTGATGAGGACTGACTGAAAATAGTCTACAAAAGGTTTGGTCACACAATGAGAAGTTGTGAGATTGTAGAGCCTTTTAGTAAGTGAGCAAATGCTGTAAGAGAGATGTGAAACAAATTTGGTATGTTTCAGTGCACAGTTAAATTTCGTCAGTTAAATAACAGCTCATTCAATGAGTGGCTAACTTCCCACTACAACAAAGACATGCTCTTTGTGGTCATGTATCTAAGCCGAGGTAATTTGTTAATTTTTAAAGCAGGTTACCTTGTTGCCTGGAGTCTTCTGATTGTATAGATCTCTTGCTCTGTCTCTAACTAGAATGGTTGAATCTCTTCAATGAATACCCCCCCCGCCCTGACCAAACTTTTTAGGAAAAGGGAGGGGGCTTTAGTTAACACCACTAAGTAACAGATTTACATTATAGTCTGGTTATTACTCTTTACTCCACTTCTTGCTTAGCAAACAAGATAACCAATTGGGAGGACCTAAATTATACCTAGCTTATCCATTATTATCTGTATTCTCCTATGACTTTGATGTTTCTCTAAGCTTAACGTTGAGGTCAAACAGGAACACATTTTGGAGTACTAGAGTGGTGTAGATGATCTTTACCATCACAGTCTGGTCTTGTCTAATGTCTCTGCTAATGATTTCCCAGTTTCTTTCAAGTAAAGTTGTAGTTAGAAGTACAGGGATTTCTTTTAATGAAGAGATGAAGCATAAATGTGAAAAACTAAACAATTCCCATGGATAATTTTCTCACTTGTGAGAATTTTATCAAGTTGTTAGTTTTTTGCTAAAAATCCATTTGGACAATCTGTTATTACTCAGAAATTGATAAATTACTGAGGACTCTGTGGGCAGTAAGATCCTAATGGAAAAAGAACAAACCTAAACCTTAAGTCCTAAACCTGTCACCTTACTGGTGTTTTTGAGTGACCAGTTCTCATGTGTTTGGGAGCACAGTAGGAGTGGCATGGTCCTTGACGCCAGTAGCTAACCTCTGGGACCTCCCTTTTAAAGGGCAGTGTTTTACAAAAGTTGAGGAAGATGGGCATTTTTCATTATGAATAAAGTGTTATCACTAGCTGTTTCATTGCTTCTCAAGTTTTTACAGCAGCACAAAAAGTATTTGGAAAACTTGTTTGTAGAGAGTCTGTGAGTGGTTTTGTGAATTGCTGGACTAGCTGTGATCAGTAAAGCCATAATAAGAAAAAAGGACAATGTTAGATTAATTTTAGGGTCTACATATTTTACAAACTCATTGGAAAACAGAATTCTGAGAAATTTCTTTTTAAACTATGGTACTGTAGTAATAGTACTGTAGTACTGGTAGGATTGCTTAGTATTTTTAATTGTAATGAGATTCTCATAAAATAATTTGTCTTCTAGAAAAATATTACCACTAAGATTTTTTTTTTATTATTATTTTATAGGTGATCATAGATATGAAATCTTTAAAAGGAGAGTTTTACAAGGAAAATCAGTCCCCAATTATGCAGCAATAGAGCCAAGTGGGGATGGTCTAATGATTGTTTCCTACAAACCATTCAAATTTATGCAAGATGAAGAAGACAAATTAGAAGAAAATGACGATGCAAAAGCAACAAATGAAAAGAAAGGTAAGACTTATGTGGCAGATTATGATAGGCTACTCTCTCTTTTGGCTTAGAAAATAGCTTGTCAGTTTAGCATCTGTTTGGAAATTCTAGGAGTAAATGCTTGTCTTAATATTCATCTTCCAGATGTTTTTCTTTTTTTTTAAGGACAGATTGGCTTTTTTTGTTTGTTTTCACCCTGGAAAGTTGTATTGTGCATAAACCTATATGAGAAGCTTTTTTGGATAGGAGACACTTAAAGAATTTTGTTGTCGTAAGGAAAAGGATATTTTGCAAACAGAACTATACCAAGTATTTGCTAGCAGTTGAATGGCTAAGTTAACACCTAAATTTAGACATCTGGCTGAAGTGCTCAAATGAAGAAGCCAGTCTTCCCAGATGAGAGAGGGCAGTGTGGCACCCATTGACTCCCCCAAATAGTTGTTCATCATAAAGCTCTCCGATATGTAATTTACTCCTGTCTTTCTAAATTTAAAAAAAAAAAAAAAAGAAACCGAAAGTTTTTATTTTTAAAGAATGAGAATCCTGTAAGAGATTATCTTTTCTCCAGTGGGAAAGCAGTTCAGAAAAAATAATAAACTTCCACAAAAGGCATCCATACTTTTTTTTCTTTGAGATAAAAACAAAATGAGGTATGTAAAAACCTATTAATAAAATTGTTTTATCTTAAATATCATTGAGCTCTGTAATATGTATGTTTATGTAGTCATATTGTTTCAGATTTTATTTTTGCTTCTGAATATGAGACATTGGTTAATGAACCAATCCTAACTGAATGATACTAGCACAATCTTTGTCAATAGTGCAAACATCTGTTTGGGAAACAATACAAAAAGATCAATTTTCTGGAATGTATTAATGTTATACACTGTGATAACTGTGATGTTGTACATGTGATTGTATTAGGAATAGTCTGTATGTATAAATCTTTAGGCAAAGGAGGAGTTCAGTGCACTGAGCACCATAATGCAATTGTCACCTGAATTAGCTAGTTCAGTGTTTTAAGGATTTTAAGAGCTTCTTGAGTTGTGTGCTAGGTGTGATTAAAGAAACACAGTAAAGAGCCCTATATGGCTCTTAGGATAGCTCATTTCATGCATGTATGTACACATGTGGTGTTGCCTAAGCCCAGAAATCTGTAATGTGTGGAGTACTGTTTGCAGCAGTACCTTTAGAAAACTTCTCATGGCACAAAAATCTAATGGTAGAGAAAGTACTGACACCTGAACTCCTAGTTTAGAGGGAAGTCTAATACCTCTTTAAGAGAGAATTTGTCTTTTGCTAAACCTAATGTCGGCTAGAATTTTAGTTGCATGGTTACATAAAATTGCAGGCATAATAGATATCAGATAAGGAAACAAGATGTGCCAGCAATAGAACTCTAATTTTTGTAGGATTTTACAAAACAGATGAAGGAATATTAAGGCAGTTATGTTGCACATCGGTATTTTGGTTTTTAATTTGTTCTTTCATAGTCTCCTCTGCACATTTTTGACAGCTTATGAGAAGGCTGTCTTGAAGACCAGGGAGAGGGGAAGCCTAAGCTACTTTTTTGGTGTCATTCCGTTTTCTTATAAATTAAGACTTTTACCATCAGATACAATCTGTGTCAAAGTTTAGAATTTTGAAGGCTGTCATACCTCAGATATTAATAGTTTCTGAGAAGTATATTTGTAGCACCTGTGACTGGTCTATTGCAAACAGGAAACTTGTGGTAATGGACAACAGTGTAAGAGTCCTTCCAGAGTCACAGTTGCTGACATGAAGCTTAGATCAACTGAATCTCGTATTGTGTCGTGACAACTTAAGAGCTTCCAAAGAGTCTATCCATACTTTACTTTTCCTCTAAATAGGAAGGTAACACGTACAAGATTGCTCTTTAGAAAATTAATGCATCCATATTTGCGTTTTCTGTGACCAACTGTGCACTACCCAATCATGCTGTCATAGCCTTGCTTTTGTATAAACATTTCTCTTAAAAGGCCACTTCTTGTAGCAGTTTAGTAATCAAGATAGACATCAGGCAGATTCTAGACCCAGGAGCAAAAGTCAAGCATTACCTCTGGGCAGGCAGTTTTATTTTCATCTCCATCAACTGAGGCAGATGAAGACTACTTAGTCTTCTAAAATAATTTCTGTTGAATATTCAGCGTAGCTTCTGGCAAAACAGGTAAGAAAAAAATGTTCACATCTCTGGATGGCATGTACTTCTGAGCATGCAATAGCTTGTAAGTACCACTGCACCTGATGTCTCTTCAACCAAATTATTAATCATTAATGTTTCAGTGTATTTAAGTACATTTTGGTTATCAATTTTTTATGCTACAGTAAACTTAGAGTAATAGTTAATGCCCATTGTATAACTGTCAGTATATTTGAGTATAGACATGAGTATAAATTGCTCTCCAGATGAGGTACACAAATGAACTTGATTGCTAAAAAAATGTTTCTTCATTTCATAATCAGAATATATTTTATGTAAATTGTTCAGAGTGAAAGTTAATTTCCACTCTTCCACAAACTTCTATTCCATATCTCCCGGCATTGCATGTTGTGGAATCCAGGACAGCATTTGTAATCTAGTTTGTATTTTTCTGCATGTTTCCAGTTGTAGACCCTCTCTATTACTGGCAGCAGACTGAAGATGATGTGACAATAACAGTTCACATTCCTCAAGGCATTACTAAGGACGACATAAAAGTACACTTTTCTCCTGATAACATATGTGTTACACTGAAAGACCAGCCTCCTTTGATGGAAGGAAAACTCTATTCATCTGTGGACCACGAAAGCTGCACGTGGATAATTAGAGAGAACAAAAGGTGTTGTATATGTTTTTTTAATTTTCCTATTGATAGGAATTGATTTCAAAGGGTGTACTTTGAAGTATCTCTGACTTCTGGCCCCTCTGGGAATGGACTCATTTAATGCTGCACCCTGCATCCCTCCTTGTAAGAATCTATCTCCTCTGCTGAAAATAGTTCACTGGCTTTTGCAATGCTGTCTCATAATACTGATTCTTTAGCTAATTGTGAAAGTAATTCCCTCCTCTTACAGTTACTTGCTTATTACCTACATGACCAGCTATTTTCCACAACAACATAGAACAGCCTTTCCAAAATAATAAATTCTTTTGTTTCAGAAAAAAAGGCATTATGTATAACTGTCTGTACTGACAGCTATACCTGTATCAGACCAGGAAATTAAGAGTTTCTGTTACTGAGCTGTGAAGCAGAGTTCTTTGCAACATTAGGCTACATTAATGCTCATAATGTTAACCTACTCACACTATTTTCACATGCTTTGCCTGTGTTTATTGGCAGCCAGAGTTAATGTTCTGTTCTAATGTTGTCCGTTGCCTTTCTAAAACAGTATTTGGTGATATGAGCTACTGGAGGTCAACACATGCATGTCTGTATGACTACCTGTCTGTATGACTACCTGTTTTTTTTTATTCTGTTTGGGAATAATCTTGTCCATTCAATTCTAGTTGATCACAGTGGAAAAGGGAATAGGTACACTGTTAAATGACTTTCATAAAGACAGTGTATCATACAGTTATAAAACTTCGGTGATAAATTCAGTAATATTTTGAAGTACTGGAGAAAACGTTATTTTTTCCAAATAGCCAGGAAAAAACCCAGCTATCAAAATGTTAAAAATAGCTTTGTAAGCAAAGTAAACTTAATTGGTTCAACAATTTTTTTTTTTCCACTACATTTTAGGATTGATTAGCCTGACTTTTAGCCTGTTGTTTGTGTTAATAATTTCTCTTCTACTTCTGCTTTCCACAAACAGAAGCTTTTTTGGTAATAATGTAACAGAAATTCTTCAGGTTTGACTTATAAATTCCTTATTATATTTTTCTAATCCATTGTTGTCGTGGTTTAACCCCAGCCAGCAACTAAGCCCCACACAGCCGCTCGATCACTCCCCCCTGGTGGGATGGGGGAGAGAATCGGACGAGTAAAAGTGAGAAAACTCATGGGTCGAGATAAAGACAGTTTAATAGATAAAGCAAAAGCCGCACACGCAAGCAAAGCAAAACAAGGAGTTCATTCCCTACTTCCCATCGGCAGGCAGGTGTTAAGCCATCTCCAGGAAAGCAGGACTCCATCACACGTAACGGTTACTTGGGAAGACAAACGCCATCACTCCGAACGGCCCCCCTTCCTTCTTCTTTGCCCAGCTTTATATGCTGAGTGTGACGTCATATGGTATGGAATATCCCTTTGGCCAGTTAGATTAGCTGTCCTGACTATGCTCCCTCCCAGCTTCTTGTGCACCTGGCAGAGCATGGGAAGCTGAAAAGTCCTTGACTAGGGTAAGCATTACTTAGCAACAACTAAAACATCAGTGTGTTATCAACATTCTTCTCATACTGAATCCAAAACACTATACCAACTACTAGGAAGAAAATTAACTCTATCCCAGCCAAAACCAGGACAATTGTACGTTATGTATATGATACAAAATTAATCTGTGTGAACTTAACATGCACTGTAGACCTCAAATAGAAATGTTCATGGTTTTATTTGAGAAGTAAATTCTAGTTGTCTCTTTCTTTCTGAAATAAAAACACCAAAGAATGGAGAGGAGGAAAAGAAAAAGTATTCAGAGCTCTCTAAACCATAGTCAAATTTACTTTTTTTTTTTAATTTCAAAACCTGTTAGTTCTAGAATTTTAGTCCTCTGGTAGAGAATTGCAACCTAATTCTGGACATCTAATTTTGCTTTGTACTTAGATTCTATATCTTTAGTAGAGCCTCCAGAGGGCTCTTCAGAGCCCTAATCTGATCTCAGTGACAAGACATGTTCAACCATTGTTTTAGGGTTTTTTGTAGGTGCAAATTGTTTACAACATTTGCATTTGCATCAGTAAAAATGTTTCATACCTGGAAGGTGACGTAAGTATTCAGATTTATTTCCACATGTGCTTCTGCACATGTAAAAGGGAGTGTGAAATCCCTATATATTTGGAAATGTAGCCTTCTGAGTTTTTTGTTTGAGACTTGAAGCTAAAAGCTTGTATTATAAGCTTCTTCCTTTGTTGCAGTGAACACTTATATGCACCATTTTGTCCTACCTTGTAGGACATGAACTGAGGGAGCTGTTGAATACTTAAATACTGCTGAACATACTCCTCTTGATCCTTCCACTTACAAGAGGAATTGAAAGTCTTTGCTCGTCTTTGGCAGTTGTACTTCCCCTTCTGCTACCTGGTCAGAACAGCTAGAACTGAAGCACCATCTAAGTGGTTCAAAGTAAGACTTAAGTCGTGATGAATAAAATGCAGTATGTGCATTACAAAAAAGTAGTAGTTGATCCACACTTTAATGATCTTGTTCTTCTTTCTACCCTGAGCCCATATTACCTGTAAAAGTAACTTGAAATTTTTATAGCTTCTCTTGTCAATTGCACTGGTGGGTTTCTGTTTGTCTGCCTGAGGGAGGTGGGTTTTAAAGTCTGGAATGGACTAAACATTTTCTGCTCTAAGGGCTTTGTGATCATACTTCTGAACTTTGGAAAGTTCATACATTTTACATTCTGTAACTCAGCGCATTGTTTATTTAACCTAGAGGTGTGTTTCTGAAAAGTCGATACAAATGCAAGTTATACTTACCAAAATATGGCAATTGCAATACATGGCTTATCACAATACCCACGTGATTCCCATTACCAGTCTCTATAATATGCTCACTGTCACAACACTGAGCATCCCCACTTGCCGGGAAAGAATATGTGGGTTAAAGCCAGCTCCAGCCCGTTGCTCTCTTCCAAATTCTTTTGTTAGTTGTCTAGTTTTTATACTCTGCCTGTGCTGAGCCATATATTCCCTCCCCCCATGCTGGTCTGGCTAACTCAGGCAGATATTCACACTCTTTTAATGAACTCAAGGAGAAACATTTACACAACCAGTTGATTCACTCAACTGTTGATAGCTGTTTATCTAAAACAAAGGCCACCCCTTGTGTTGAGGTAAGGTGAGCTTCTTTGCGTTATTCCCTGAGCTTAGTGAGCACATCGCCTTGCCCATCCCTACCAGCTGTCTTCCCTTGTAGGGGTTTGTTCAGTGAGTCACATTCCACCTCTTGGGGTTTAGTCTGTCACAAGCTCTGTGACATGTAACACTGGTTGCAGACTGGAAGCACCTTGTGTTGATCGTTCTGTAAATGCAGAACCATAGGCTAAGTCCTGAACCAAAGGAATTATTTAAACATAAGGTAAAGGGTGAGGAAGAAGGGTACAAGGGAGGGGGAATGCAAGGAAATGAGTCAGTAAGTAAAACTGTGTTTCAAGTGTCATTGTTCGGATGTGGTTCATGATGGAATTTGTCTTGGATCTTCCAACAAGTATAAGAAAAGCAACAAGGTCTGTCAGTATATTATACACAATTGGACATTTACTGCTTTTGCTCTCTCCTAGGATAAAGTAATGAGCCACTATTTCTTGAAACAGGTAGTTTGGTTAAATGGTTTCTTAAAGAGTAATTTCCGTATATGGTGTCATCATGTGAAAAAATATAAGAAGAAAGGAGTTGTTTCTATGGAAATAGAAGTATTTCCTTTAAATAAGATAAAAATTAATTTTTCTCACTGGGAAAGTTTTGCAAATACTCTGTGATAAAGGACATAAATTTAGCAAAATATAAACTTGCCTATATCACTAAGCATATTAGTCTTTTATCCAAATCGAAACCAAATCTAAAACATAGCATCACACCAGGTACTATGAAGAAAATTAACTCTATCCCAGCCAAAGCCAGTACATGAGTGCAACAGAAATGCTTAAATCTATTTACTAGATTTAAGGATCAAGAATTTCTTTGGTTGAGAAAAACTCTGCCTTAAAGTTCTTAATGTATTAATGGCCACAGTATACCTGCTGGACATGGGACAAGGGTGGAGGGAATGCATTAGTTGTGTCCATTTCCAAAGCATTTTGAAATGTCTTCTGTTGTTCTCTGCTTGGCCTCTTGTTTTCTAATACCAGTCATTAATATCCAGTATAGTTTTACTTTGAAGCACTGTGGGTTCTGAAAAATATAGAGATAAGTATTTGCTACTTGCTTTACAGTCCCTTTTGCATTTCCATAAACTAAACTTACTAATTAAAAACTTTGAGTTCTTAGTTATTGACTTTTTTTATTTTTTGAGCTTTCTTTGATTAACAGTCACCAAATACTTGCTCTGAGCAAAAATGTACAGGTGTTGAAAGAAATTTCTGATAATCTAGTGGTGTAGAAATGGTTCTTGCTGTGCATCTGGCAATAAAATATGATTGTGCTGTAGTTAGTGATTTCTTCTGAAGAGAACTTATCCCTTTGACCATGCATGTTTCTTGGAAATCTGGTTTTTGACTCCAGCAGTTCAAGATTTGAACTTTGTAAAAGACTCTTTGAGTCTGTCTTACCTTTGTTTTATAATCAGTGCTCCTTTGGTAGTTTTTTTCCCCTTTTTGCTGTAGATTTATTGCTGTTTTTACAGTTTAGTTATTCGGAATGCAATATATTCTAATAAAGGTAATTGTACAATAGGAAAATTGCACTTTTTTTTTTACCAGGTAGAGCCTTAGAGCAGGGCAGGTGGTTTTATTGATCCCCCTCACTTTTCAGTATCTAATACCTGTTTTATGAGAGTGTATGCGCTTCAGCATTCTGTCTGAGTCCCAGTTCAAGAAGTTATTTCTGCATATGTGAAGCTTATTGATATGAAAAAAACCCTGAAACTTTTTGCGTAGTTCGGATCTGTCCTTGGGTTTCCATTAGGCATTTTTGGTCTACAAAGTTTTCTGCCGAGTTTCTCCTGCAGAGGTTCCAATT